ATAGTTTGTTTTCCATATCGCCCAGCCCTACCTCCTCCTCAGTGTAAGCCTGGTCCGATCAGCCAGTTTTTAAGTCCTCTTTGTTTGCTGTGTGTCAGGTCAGTTTTGTTTGTGTAGTTAGTTTGAAGTTTTTTTATGGTTAACCTAGAAATTTTTGGCCTTGAGTTAGTCACTTTTTTAAGGGCCTTGTAATTATTGTTTGGATTCTTGTTACTTTGGGGAAATAAAAACCATTTTTCTTGATAATCACCACTGTGTCCTTACGCTTGACCAGCACAGTCCCTCACAGAGCGGCTTAAGATAAATGCACAATGCATGTCTTCAAGGAAATTCTCCTCTACAATAAAATTATTCACTGCTTTATGTTGGTCAACCTCAAAAAAAAAAAAAAAAACTGAATAAGCTGTTGCTAATTTAGGGCAATATGGAGCCAATATCAAATGCACAATTTGCTGACATCCTGATTCTTATGTACTCTGAGGCTCTAAAGCTGGTGTCTTCTGCTTCTGGGGTTAGTTAAAGCTACTAATAATTATGATAAAAACTCACTTTTGTAAATATGTTGCCTAGATACCAGCTCAATCAAATTCTCCATTAAATTGACAAGTTCTAAGTGTTGTTAGACTTTTTTGAGTCATACAAAGGTTTGCTGTTGGTGCTTTAAACATTTGGACTGTATTAAAAACAAACTGAGACACTTTAACAAATTGAGAAAGTGTGTTGAAAGGTAAACAAATGCATTACAAACTCTCTGATCTAATTAACTGCAGGTCAATTTTATTGAATAGTCTTAAATCTCCACATACTGCAAAACCATTCCCCTCAGGTGACCATGTCAGAAGGCAAACAGGCTGTTCAGATTCTGCTTATAGATTAAAAACTTGTGATGAAACTTGTAAAGCTTTTACTGGATACATAACATCATCCATTTGTGAACAGTAAGAACTTTGGGGGCTTTCCAGTAAGACAAAAAGGACTTTGGTTATTGTGGAAAATAAAACAAAATAGTACCTCCCTGCCTTCATACGCATTTTGGAATCATTGTTTATCAAAACATGATATCATCCAGACGGGGAAAAAAGAAATCAGGCAAATTATTCATGAGATAATTTCTGCAAGCATGTCATCGCTGTCTGAGTCTGAATGTGGTTCTTTCAGTGTGCCTAATTTAATTAGCATACATGTGTCATTACATCAGAATACCTGTGAATCACCTCATTTGATGACATATTTCCAAAACTCCCAAAACATGGAGAATTAACAATAAAGACACCCAAAACAATGACAGAAGAATATGCTAATACTTACAGGCATGCACCTTGGGTGTTATATCATATCATGCTGACCTTTACTTTAGTATAAGCAGCACAAAGTTATATGTTGTTGCATTTCAATCTGACACAGAAAGAAAGGACAATTGGAAGAATTTCATTGATACAATTACTATTGTTTTTGGCGTTCAGACCTCGGCAGGATATGCATGAACCTGAGTAAAGAACAGGAATGTTCCCCCCCGGGCCTGAAACTGGTGTTGGAGTGGAGATAGATGAAGTAGGTTGGATGGTTGGCGAGACGGTGTGCTTGAGCTGTATGGAAAGATCCAGTGGACTGCGTGAGCTGATACTAGTGCTTCACTCAGGGACTTTGAAGATGGAAGTCCAGCTTGGATAACACAGGTTGCAAGAACCTTTTACTGATGAGCAAGCATTAAGCGACAGTGAAGAGGAAAAACTCCCCATTGGGGAGAAACCTCTGACCGAACCAGGCGGTCTTCTGCCGGACCGGTTGAGATGAGAAAGGGAACGCAGTAAGAGTCCGGGAGGATGACACTGAAGCTTAGCTATGATGGTGGAGGAGAGGCTGGAGGTGGGTTGAAACTGGGTCATCTGAAATGAAGTTGGACATAGCGCAACGACTGCCTGTGCTTAGGTAGCAGATGGAGTGTAAACGGAGACCTTTTAAGATTAACTCTGGATGCTGACTGGGCTTTTGTGGAGGTGTGGTTCAAAGCTGATTAGCTTGTGTCAGAGATCGATGAAGGCGAGTAATCAGTTCTTCGCCTAGGTTCCTTTAAAGGTGCTGTAGGAGATCTTGGAAAGACAGTTCCAGCAAGCTATATTTTTGAACATACACAACCATGCTTCTCCCTTCAGACCACCCCTCGAAACTACGCATTTAAAACACATGAACATGCATGCTGTCTGCAGCGTGTCTAGAGCAGCAGGAGCAGTGCGTATGAGCAGATGAAGCGGCGCGTCACTGACCTCGGAGCTGGCAGGGAGACAGGCACTGATGATGCAGAGAGCTATGATCACTCCTCTGAAACAGTGTATTGACGCCTAAATTAACTTAAAATGCCGAAATCTGCCTGCAAAACATGTTCGCTTCTATTATCCTGGTGCCTGCAGTGTGGATTACGTAAATGAAAAATGCCTTCCTGCGATGTGGTGACCGGTTCAGGCGGAAATTTTCACTTCAAAATAGATTCAAATTACTTATTAACCACTGATGACAGCTAATATTGCTGCCGTTGTTACAGGCAAAGAAAGGATAGTGTATCTCCGGCTCCGCGCAACCCGCATCAGACCCACTTTTTCCACCGTACAGCTAGAGCAGCAGAGATCCTTCGGCGACACATCAGAACTAAACTTGTACAAGCATAAAAAATGAAGCAGCACACGCATTTAGGTGTGATTGTAGAATAAAAGTGGCTAGCTTCCAGCCATGGCGTCCTGCACGAGCATTTGGGGTCAATTCGTTCATGTGTCAGGGTACACGAACAGAGGGGAGGGACAAGCAGATGACCATGATTGACGCGTTCGGGAACCAATCGTGTACAACGGACCGTCTTTTGAGATTGGTTGAGGTTTTTCATTGATTTCTCACTGAAGCGGGGACCATTTATTTTAGTTTAACTTCCAGAACTTCTATTTCAATGCATACTAAGCAGCTGTGGAGCCATTTTTAAGCCACATGGTTAAATATGCGTCAGAAAAGATCTCCTACTGCACCTTTAAGAAGTTATGAGCTTTGGAACAATAGGGAAGGGAACAAGGACGTTAAGCCATTCAAAATATAACCCAGAGAACACCGTTTGAACCTTTTTTTCCGATCCTATCTCTTTGATATGTGTTGATTATAAATGTTTAAATATTGTGGGAGACTTAAAAATTCACACTAACAATCTTAAAGACAGAAGGATACTGTAGAACCATGTGATAACATAATAGGAACAAATTTTGTACTTCATCATCACTAATTTTGCCTTCATGTGGTCTCATAATTACAGTATAGCATACAGTACACCAAAATTGCACAGCCACTCATATTTTAATTTTCTCTGGAAAGCTGGGAAAATTCTATTACATGAGTTAGTATAGTGTAGCCTATGAAGGATTTTGTATTGAATTATTTGTAAACTAGGATTTCTAGTCATGTTGAAGATTCTCTGACAGATTTTAGACCAAAATTTCAGAAATCAGTTTCCCCTTTTTCCATTAGGAAGCGATATAGATTCATCTATTTTGGATAATTTATTTTTGATATTTTGGATATTTTGGACATTTGGTGGCATTTGTAGACCTGCTTCATTAATGTTAAAATCTTTCTCTTACTATAGACCAAATCTGTTGATATTCCAGAAATCCAATACCATTCAATTAAGCTGCAAAATTGGATAAAATTATTTATTTCAAATAAATATTGCAAGAATTTAATAAATTTCCTGATCCATTTGGGGAAAGCTTATCATATTTTTTGCAAGCTATAGGGGTTGTTAAAGATGAGTGAACAGTATTAGAGAGGATGCTGTCATTTTAAAAAACTCCCACCAAGCTGTCAAAGATGAGCTAATGCAGATGCTTTTAAAATGTATATGCCTTTTATGTTTGAGCTAATAAATGGAAGATGTGAAACACTAATGTAAGATGATAGCACCTATTCTACATCTACTGTAACCAGGACTCATCTTCTGAGCTCTTTTTTTTTTTTTAAGCTATTTACAGATGTATTGTACCTACT